AATTAAAAAAAAATATATTCAAATAAGAATTTAAAATAAAAAATAAATTCTATTTCAATAAAAAGATTGATATTAATATGCAATACATTTCTTACATAATTTTCATAATCAATCATCATATTTTTTCACGTCTACTTTTCTAAAATCTAAGTGATCTTCACCTCTATTTTTTTGAATCCAGGTACCTACTTTTTAACCATGCCTAAACTCTCCTTCATAAATAGTTTAAAATGTATCTGTAAAAGAATCGTGCAATTCTATCCATTTACCAATCTTAATCGTATCTCCTTCTTCATCATATGATCCACCACCACTAAAATAGTTATACATAATAGGTTTTGTACATTTATTCTTCTTCAAACTATGTCTCCCAGTAACCTATTTTCTTGCCATTCTTGTATTCCCCTAAATAAGTGATTTAGGAAGTATCTCTAAATTTATGATTCAATTCAGTCCATTTCCCAGTCTTGCATTCATTACCTAATTCATCATATGACCCACCACCACTTAAATATTTTAATCCTATTTTACATCTTTTCATTTTTTAGATTATTATAATTTTTCTGATACCAAATATCCCATCTACCAACCTTTTTACCACATCTATAATCCCCATGATAAGTAACTTATGATAAATCATCAAATTCGTCGCTTATCTCAATCCATCTCCCAATCTTACACTCATTACCACTCTCATCATATAATCCACCACCACTAAAATATTTCAAAAAGTTATATTTAAAAAATATTATCTTACATATTTTTATTACTTCTTTAATAATGCCATTAGATATCCCATCTACCAACTTTTTTACCATTTTTATATTAACCATCAAAAGTGATTTAAGAAGTGTTTCTAAATTCGTTACTTAACTCAATCCATCTTCCAATCTTACACTCATTCCCCGCTTCATCATATTATCCACAGCCACTAAATAGAATGATATTTTAATATTCATCCTTACAATACTGTATATTACATCGGCTTCTCTCCTCTCTAAAACACGTTCCAACTACCAACTTTTTTTCCCCCTTTATATTCACCAGCATATATGTAATTCAAATGGCCATAATTACAACCAAAATCGTCACAAAAATAAACCCATTTGCCAAACTTTATGCCTACTTCATCATACGATCCACCTCCACTAAAAATTCTGAAGATATCTAAAATAATTAATTTACATCTTTTATTTTTATGATAAACTCCTTTCAATATCCCATCTACCCACTTTAGTACCATTTTTATAATCACCAAGATATTTTACAGCTGATAAATTATTAGTCTCGTCGCTTAACTCAGTCCATCTCCCAATCTTACATCCATTACCACTTTCGTCGTAAAATCCTCCACCACTAAAGTTCAATATAATATTTTATGATATAATTTACATCAGATCTTAAAAATAAAAAATATCCCATCTACCAACTTTCTTACCATTTTTATATTCACCTCTATAAGTGAATTACGAACTTTCGCTGAATAACTCAGATGACTCAATCCATTTTCCAGTTTTACACCCATCACCATTTTAATCATATAATCCGCCACCACTAGACAAATGAACATAAATATTTAGTAAAATAATTCTACATTTTTTTTCCGCAAAACAACACATCCCATTTACCAATCTATTTACCATTTTGATATTCACCTTTATATGTGACCTTATATTCTTCAGTAAACTCCTTACTCAACTCAATCCATCCATTAATCTTGATTTCATTTCCTGCTTCATCATAAGATCCCCCTCCACTATAATATTTAATATTTTATTTACATCTTTTAATTATTTCCATAAAAATTCCAATAAATATCCCATCTACCAACTTTCTTACCATTTTTATATTAACCATGCAAAGTGATTTAGGAAGTCCCTCTAAATTCGTTACTTAACTCAATCGATCTTCCATTTTTATACCCTTGACCTCGTTCATTATATAATCCACCACCACTAAAATAATCCGCATAATATTTAATAATAATCTTACATTAATTTAAGTTTTTTCTCATAATAATCTTGAAACTAAATATCCCATCTACCAACTTTTTAACCATTAATATATTCACCATCATAAGTGACTTGAGATTTCTCATGAAATCCATCACTTAATTCTCTCCATTTACCATGTCTTTAACCTTGCTCATTGTATTATCCACCATTACTATTAATATATAAAATATATACATCTTTTTATCATTGTAAATATACATCCAAGTCCCTCTTTTTTTGCCATTTACATATATTCCTATTTCATATACCTATGCTTTGCTATTTATCATTATCATTTAATTAGTATTTACTTCTAATAATTATTTATTGGTTCTTTCCATAACCCTTCCTTTAATCCATTTGAGTAGTACCCACCAACATCTTAAAGAGCATTTCCATCCCATTTAGCTATCCACTACCTGTTTTTTTGTTGTTTTGCTCAAATCCCCCTTACCATTAAAGGTGTTTGAGTTATTCAATATTTGCTAATATTTCTTATACGTTGAAATCTTCTTAGATCGATTCACTTTTAAATAAATAGTCATATACGTTCTCAATACTCTTCCATCAGAAAAGTACGTGATTTATTTATCTTATGTAATTGTAATAATAATTTCGGTCTATATGAATCTCTACTATCTTTAATCCCACTTTTCTAGCAAAATATTTTTGAAGACTTGTTTCTAAGTTGTTGAGTTTGAGGAAATCAATTAGTTAAACATTTAAGAATTTATCATTTAAAATAAATGAATTTCCATCATTAATTAATTTAAGAAATTTTAAATGCGAGCAGAATTTCAGAAAAATGAAATGTTATTAAGAATTTGAATAAAGAATTTATTTCTGTCATTCTACTTTTTTTTTCAGTCAAATGACATTTTTTCTTCAATCTCAATCCTCTAATTCACAGGAATTAGCATCTTTATTTATTTAAAATTCATTCAAATGGTGATTTTCATGATTCATAAAAGGCATCTAAAGTGCGAAAAGTTCTGTATCACATTACAAATTACAAAATTATAAGCCCAACCTTAATGAAATAAAGCAATTTAATTCTTTAATGGATAAGATTCGCTAAAATGAACAGTAACTACTAAATTTAATCATCTCACAATCCTTATTAATATTGAAGATAACAAATTAACAATAAACAAAGTTAACTAGATTTGGTCTTCAAACCAAAATATCACATCTTAAGAAGAAAAATTTAAAGTAAATAACCTTTAAAATATTCATAGTAAGATTAATAATTAAAATCTTGAAAACCTTAGTGAT